AGTCAACGCAGGGGTCACCACCCGACCGTCGTTGCGGATACCATTTCCGTGCACAGAGTCGCATGTTTGACTCTATTCATGAAGAATGGCAGCGTGTTAATCAAGTGGTGCCCGCATGCACTGCGATGACAACCCCCCTTAACTTTATTGAAACAATGTAGAAATGTAATACAGAATGATGCAGGATTTGAATGCTTAAATTATGAGGTAGTGGGTGGGTGGTTTAGCTTGGAGACGGGTTCAGGTCGCTTGCTGAACGTAGAATGACTATGCTAAGGTGAAGTGGGATACAGGAAAGCTTGACGATTGCATGGCAAGTAGGATTAGGCAAATGACCGTCACGAGAGTATGAGCTTACAATATGCGTGTGAATGGAAATAGCACGGGCGAGGCGTGCACGGGATGGAAGGTCGCGTGCCTATGAATAGGGGCACGCGTTGATGTCATGTGCAGGGGGATTACGACTGGCGTGTGTTGCGTAAGTCATGTGTTAGGGATTAAAACTGAGGCGTCGTTGCTGAGCATTAACGCAGACTATGCTGACGCATAATCATACTATTAATGCTAAGAAACGACGCTAGAGACCAGGTCTTGGCTGAGAGCAGAAGGGGTGTGAGCCACGGTCAAGCGTCGTCGCCGGAACCTGTTCCGTGATGTGAGTCGCAGATTTGATTCACATCACGGAGAGATTAGCATGGTACTTGATCGAGGCCAGTCAACGCAGGGGTCACCACCCGACCGTCATTGCGGATACCGTGCACAGAGTCGCATGTTTGACTCTATTCACGAAGAATGGCAGCGTGTTAATCGAGTGGTGCCCGCATGCACTGCGATGACAACCCCCAAATTATGAGATGGCCGGGAATGGCGCAGCGACAAGCAAGCCGAGGAATCGGTATAAATATATGTTGTGGCATTAAAGTACATAACTGATGTTGCTCGTGATATATAAAATACAAGAGGTGGTTGACACGACTGAAAGTGAAATAGATAATACGAACATGTCAAGGTAAATGTCTAAAGCGAAATATAGTTCATGTAAATAAATGTAACGAGGTAAAAATGATTAAAACTGAGGCGTCAATGCTGAGCATTAACGCAGACTATGCTGACGCATAATCATACTACTAATTATTATTTTGGTCTCTAAACAAAGGCAAATGTGTAAAACTATTGCTGAAAGGATGGTCACATAACACATAATAATGGTCTTTATACACAGGTTGCTATACATTATGCTTTAGAACTGGTCTACGAGTGTTCACTATAATCAGGTGGTCTTTATATAAAGGTGGTCACTAACACAGGTTTGAATGTTGTACACAGATGTTGTGTAACACAGTAATTGCACCTGACATGACACAAGCTATGCATCAGGGACAACTGTGAGATCGATTCAGCAATGAATCAAAACATGAAAGTTTTGTATTCTTGATGTCTCTCACTGATGGCAATGAGATAGATGCATGCACAATGTACACTGCCCCAAGCAGTGCTTGCATCACACCATGTTTAGTTGCCTTAACTCCTGCTACACAATGGTTTAATCCTATGAGAGGTGGATGTCATTGCTTTTCTTCTTCTTGTTGGTATAACCCATGAGACTTGATGTAATTGATGACTGGATCTGGAACCAAATATTTCACACTGTTTCCTCTCCTGAGTGCTCTTCTACAAACAAAAACATGGCATAATAACTATTACAACCTTGTTCATTTAAATAACAACAAGCCATGCACTATTCTGCAATTGAATCAACTGCATCATTTCGGGGACTTCGCTTATGGGATTAGCTCATATCCCCCAAGATCATTCATTCAAAGTCTCATAATGTGAACTTTAGATGTGATCGACACAGCTATGTCCAAGATATATGTGTGGATGTATTTGAACTTGATCCAAACAGGAAGTAAAAAAGCACATACCTGATTCTGGTGGAGCTAACTTCATTTGGAATCCACTCAGTTACTATCTCAATGTGATTCTAAAAAAAACAATTAAATGATTGATTTTGTGCTTGTATGCAATATAGGCTCAGCTATGTTAGAAATATGGTACAGGAACACTAAAGAACTTTACAAGTATTTTCCATGTGCTGAGAGGTATAAAGAATAAAGTACAAATGAAGGAATATTTCAAATCAATTGCAGATTAGCATCTTAAGTAAATAATGAAGAAATCTCACCAACAGGATTAATACTAACAAGCCTGCATGGACACAGTCCCTGTTAGTTATCAAATTTAAGATATATAGTTTTGTTTATAGTAATATAGTTGGAACATAAACGTGTCAGAAGTATGGATCCAGAAGATGATGCTTGATTATGATGATTTTTTAAACATTAAAATGATTGACATCTTGTATCTGATAATCAAACGAGTACTTGTCCATTATGAGAAATATTGCCCTGGAATAGCATTAATTAAAACAAAAATGGCCACCAGTTGGACATTTTGAAAACATCTATATATCTAGAACATGATGTAAAACAAATATACATAATTTGAACATAATCAGTCAAAGCATATCAGAGATATGGCTTCAGAAGTACATTAATTTAAACAAAATGGCTGCCAGTCAGCCATTTTGAATCCGATCTGAAAAATAAAATGATGTGCACCCATAAATGCCAAGATCCAGTTCTGGAATGCTTGATTTTTGATGATTTTCTAGCACAAAAATTGCTGCCATTTGGCCATTTTGAATCAGATCGTGAAACAAATTGATGTTCATATGTTTAATATTATGTAAGATGTATGTGTGAAGTTTGATTGTGATTGGTCAAGGCACGCACACATGGCCGCACAAAGGTCCGAGCGGGGACTAATAAACACACTGAGAATAAATTAGATTGTATATCTGTGGTTCACAGTTTATGCAAGAGCACCCAGTTTTAAGCTATTTAGATATCCGAAAATTGTCTTATTTATGCAAATTAGGTACAGATAATTAAAAATGCATGAATTTCAACCCTAAAATAAACTGTGAAGCACCGATGTACCAAGTTTCATTTGAATATGAGGACTGGTACTGGAGATAATTGTTGAACACCTATAATTTAGCTAATTTAAGCAAATTAGGTAATTAGTATGCACTAAATAAACCCAAAAAGAATTGTATATGTGGTTAACCCCAGTACATTTATGTACCAAGTTTCTTTGAAATCTAAGTGGTTCTTAAGAATTAAACAGAAAATTGCTAATACAAATTTGATATTCATAAATGAAATCTAATGAGGCCAGTGCATTGTCCCAGGGCATCTATGTGCCAAGTTTCATTTAAATCCGACAAGATGTTCTTGAGATGTTGGTGGGACATATATGCATACACACAGACAGGAATATTTCCATTGTGTGCTTCACACCTACCATTTTGTATAGTATACAAACCAACATCACAGATGTATCCTATAAAAGTATGCCAATGGCCTGTCATTCAACAGTTTTTAAAAGCATATTTAGTAAATTTAAAACAAGCAGCCTCTCGGCTGAGATAGCTCCGCTGTTAGAAATGCACATTTCAATTAAAGAACAGAAGATATCATTAGAAAATGAACAATATGCATAGTATCAATGCAATGGGACTTTAGGTTTTTAACAAGAAGTCGAAAATATCACTTTTTACCAAAAATGACAAAAATATTCACCAAAATTAGAGAATTTAAGATATCATCACAAAATGAACAAATCTGAGAAAGGGACACATGTAGCATCTATATATGTAATATCAAAACAATTGGACTTGCGGTTTTTAACAAGAAGTCAAAAATATTACTTTTTACCAAAAATGACAAAAATATTCACCAAAATTAGAGAATTGAAGATATCATCATGAAATGAACAAATTTGAGAGTGGTCCACATGTAGTACCTATATATGTAATATCAAAGCAATTGGACTTGTGGTTTTTAACAAGAAGTCGAATTAATCACTTTTTACCAAAAATGACAAAAATATTCACCAAAATTAGAAAATTAAAGATATCATCATGAAATGAACAAATCTGAGAGAGATCTTTGCTATCCACTTTGTGTACTATTTCTTACCTCTAATCTTGTAAGTACATCTGATTCGTAAATAAATTTTTGTGGATTGGATCCTGCTCGGCTTATTACTATAATTCCAAATTTTCCTACAATTTCTTCAATCTGAGAAAATCATATAAAAATAGTTAATAACTGGAAGAGTCATAAGAACTGTGTATTCTACTGTCCTCTGATTGTTCTATACCAACTGAACACAATTGATAAATATGAAGATAAAACTACACAAACAAGGATGAATAAGATACATAATTAATTTAGAGAAAAGAGTAATAAATATCTTACATCTTCATCTTTCCACAGACCTGGCACAGCAAATGACTCTAACATATCTGCACCACAAAGTAATTTTAACTGCACTGGTCTCTCATACTCTGGACTGTTTATTTGAGAAAAGTAACCATCATCTACAAACAAACATACCATAAATTGAAATACAATATCATTACGAGTGTGAAGACAGCATTCAGTTCGATATGCAATCATATCAGGTTCAATTCGTGTTTGATTCATGTACATTTCACGTTCATTTGATGTACAAATTTAAATATGTATAATTTAAACAAAAGTTTATATATAGCATATTTTGTGTAGGAAAAATAGAGATCAACCTATTTCTTTTGGAGAAAATCACGGTTACAAATAGTCTTATAGTCTACAGTCTCACATCAGAAGTCACGTGGACTCAAACAAGTATAAAATAGCCCAAGAAACAGATGAGAAATGCATAAATATGTTTAAAAGAAAATGAATCTTATGTAAAAAATTATATAGTCACAAATTATCACCACTCAATTTAAAAACAAATAAAATCTTTGAAACAAGGACGTTGATGGAGTTTTTATTTATAATCATTGTCCTTTGACTTTTCGCGTATTCGCAAACATGTCAAGGAACTGTCATGCGCACTATGAAAGTATTTATGACCACAGAAAATACTGAATTGATCTCTATTTTTCCTGCTCAAAAAATATTGTTAAATTAGCTAAAATTGCTATATATCAACATTTGAGAGAATTATAGGTATTTCAATGGACATTTCAATCGTACGTGAATCAAACACGAATTGAACGTGAATTGAAGGCGAATTAAATCAAACGCTGTCTTTTAACACTGGTATTATTTTTTCCCAGATCTGAAAATCCCAAGTGGGTCTTTTTCATGATTTTCATAAAAAATTACCTCTCCCGCAACATTGACAGAACGACTGTGCATGCTCAGAATAAATTAATTACTGTAAAATACTTTTTTTCGCTATTTTCCCTGAAGGAATGTTTCAGTTAAAGTAAAATCCAATGAATATACCCGTTTTCCTACATTTTACATTCAACTTGTCAAATCAAAGAAAGCTTAGAAAGAACTCCCGTGTGCTGAGAGTTTTGGAGACACATTAAAAAATAATTCAAAATTACTTATACTTGAGATATTGATGGAATAGCTGAAAACTAATTATGCAAATAAGGTAACTAATATGAACAGATTTAAGTGTAAAACTAAAGGTCTGCACAATGTACCAAGTTTCATTGAAATGTGATTAGAACCAAAAAAATAATTATATTTATATAATAATTATTAATTATTGTGCTAATTAGAGAATTAATATGAACAGATTTTAACCTAAAATTAATCAGGCTGTCTATTGTCCTAGAGCATTTATGTACCAAGTTTTATTTAAATGCGATGATCAATACTTGAGATATCAGTATTAATTAATTATGTTAATTAGGTGATTAAGAAGCATAAATATTTACCAAAAACTAATATGGTGCATGGTCTGAGGTTCATTGAAATGTGATGGGTACTCTTTAAAAGTTTCATTGAAATCCAATGAGTGGTT